ATAGGTTTACAATTCTTATCTTTTTTTTTGCGTTGGTGTCTTAACTTCTACCACGAGTACGACTCGATATTTAGTGAGTCAATTCGGTTCACAAACGACGCAATTATTCGCAACGCGTTAATTCCAGCCGAGATATTGCACGTACATACGATAAAAAAAATTGTCTACGTTTTAAACTGTTATAATTACGTCGTGTGACAATAGTTAAATAGCTTCACTTTCAAGCGCAAAGGCTCGACTTTAATTTAAAAGAATTCTCCAATTCTTTTCAGTTTCTTTTAAACTGATGATTGTTTTCACATCGTGCAGCAAGGATACGTTCGTCCTCGACAATTGTGAAAAATTCAAATATCCCTGAAAATGTTAAAAAAAAATTTCTTTTCACTGACTATGTTTATCATGATCTTGAAGACGCCAGATTAAAGTTTCCTCTTTACGACAACCTCTCAAAATTTGCTGCTACGATTTTATTTATCTTAACTTTGGAGCAATGGAGTGAATTTTTCTCGAATCATCTCTAGGTTCAAAGTTCAATAAAATGGCAAGAAAAGAATCATAGAGTTTTAGAGAACGATAAGATCGTGAGATACTTGAACCTTCGAGATTATGGTAGGCACGATCAAAAGATGTCTCACCGATTTTGGGGGCGTTGAAATTTTTACAGTCTTCGAACGACAAAAGTGTCCTTTCTTTTCTACCTGCTGCACGATGTAAAAACTTTCTGTCTTTGGAAAGAAAGAACTCGAGAGGTTTCAATTGTCACTCAAACAGTGCAAAACGTTCCCCTAATTTGTCCATCTCAGTGTGCTCGTAATTTAGAATAAATCTAATAAAGCAACGCTTGGCGCAACATCTCCAGTGCGGTATGTACGGAAACACGCGTTGCTAATTATAGAAACTAAATATGAGATAATTAAGGAACTTGAGAGTGGCGCAAGTGCAGCTGCACACAAGTCGAATATCGTGATAAATCCGCAATTACAAGTGGAACGCGGCAGGAAGTGATATCGCTGAAAACACGAAAAACATAAAAAAAAAAAACACTGTTGTCTAAAATGCAATTTCGATATAATTTTGTGAAAAAACGTATGGATCATATGACGATCCATTTGATCTCATTTGAGAAGAGCGAAGCCCTCTACTTTGGCAATCATTTTGATAAGTTTGTTGCTTTCGAAAATGACTTTGTGCCAATTTTATTATATGACAAAGAAGAGAAAAAAACGAACTCCACTTAAAGTGGAAGCTTGACGCTTTAAAATGAAATCAACTGAAACGTGATCTTCCTTTGCTTGGACTTGTATCACTTTAAATTGCTGGCAACTTCCATTGGTTCAATTCTGCTCAATTTCGAATTGTTGATGATATAGTCAAGAGCGTAACTGTGTCGATATAATTTTGTGAAAAAACGGATGGATCATGTGATCCATTTGATCTCATTTGAGAAGAGCGAAGCCCTCTACTTTGGCAATCATTTTGATAAGTTTGTTGCTTTCGAAAATGACTTTGTGCCAATTTTATTATATGACAAAGAAGAGAAAAAAACGAACTCCATTTAAAGCTTGACGCTTTAAAATAAAACCAACTGGAACGTGATCTTCTTTTGCTTGGACTTGTATCACTTTAAATTGCTGGCAACTTCCATTGGTTCAATTCTGCTCAGAAACGGCAGTTTCTCTGCCTCCAGGTTTGGTTGTTTGCAACGATTAGCCATCAGTACCGGTACTGACGTCATTGGTGCTTGTGCTTTTAATAACTCCATTTAATACACGTGTTACGCGCAACTTGAGGCTGCGCCCCGACGCCGGCTGCTATATATAAAATCGGTATACAATTCACTCTTCAACTTCAAACATCGTTTTTTGAACATTTTCCTCCGAGCCTACCCTGCACCATGTTGATCGAAACATTCACGTCGATGTTTTATTATTCAACACTGATGTCACAGTGTATATAAAGAGTTTTCTACGCCCACGCTTTCACACTGCTCTGATCTATCAAGTTAACAGTACGAGATTATTCGTGTCTGTATAAAAAAAAAAAAATATTCCTCAACTTTCATTACTCCCGACGAAATTTATTTAACAATTCGAATGTTAAAAGTTCGAATTAAGAAAAGCCATTAGCGAATATCGCTCGTCGCGCGTGAAACGCGAATTGGTTACGCAATTCCGCATTTAGGGCCACACATTGTCGCGCAAATGTCCGTATAATTGTAAAAATGTTCTCGCGAGCATTATTCGTAACCCTGTGCTCTCGAGATAAATGGTTTTAACGGTTCGTGACATCACGCACGAGCCACACGTGAACTCGAGTTTGCCGACAAACAGAGGCGGTTTACGTGTATACGCAGACCCTCGAACATCTATTTTTTTTTTTCTCCTATACAGTACCGATTTCGAGGAATGCACGTGCCTCGAGAAACCGAGGGAATCATATCTAAGATAATAATATGTCGTCGAGGTTCTGCGATTTCTTCGAAATCGGTGCAAGCCGAAATGCTTGATATATGATTGAACAAGAATGTAAAGAAGTTACATCGACAGAAGTTACATTGACAATAAAAGTTAGTTTCAATTAATAATCGCAATTAGTTAGAGAATTAATATTGATATTAATAATTGAAATTAAAATCAATGTTAAAAGTTGGTATTATAAAATTAAATGAATGAAAATGTTGAATTATTAATAAGATGTTGTGACTCAACCAGAGCCAATAAATCTGCACGACTTCGTTCTCGGATTACAAGAATGATTTCATGGAAATGTTGATAACGTAACCTCTCTGCAAATAATTTGAAGCTAGTTTACAAGCGGACACGATACGACCTATATTCCTGTAAGAATTAGCTGCACGGTGAATTTACTCGCTGCTCGATAGACATAAAGAAATTTAGACGGTTTCTAGTTTATTTGAACAGTGCGCGTAAAATATTACCAGGCACCAACGAGATCAAAATATTATCCCAAACAGTTGTCGAATTTTCTTTGTATTCACCGATATTCATATTTCAAATTTCTCTCGAATCTCGAATATTACTAATCGTAAGTGAATAAATTTACAGTCGAAGAGACTGAAACCATAACCTCAATGTTTTGAAAAACAATTTGGATTCTGTTTCATTTAACAATCGAATTTTAATACCATAGTTTGATATTCGTACTGCTTTTTGATTTTAAAAAAAAGTAAACGATCCCGAGTAATTCCTAAAATTGTAACATTATGATACAAATTGTCTATATTTAAGAAATTGGAAAGATTGACCCTAACCTCAATATTTAGATTCTGTTTCATTTAACAATCAAATTTTAAGTTTGATATCCGTACAGCTCTTTGATTTTAAAAAAATAAACGATCCCAAGTAATTCCTAAAATTGTAACATTATAATACAAATTGTCTATATTTAAGGAATTTATTTTTAAAGAAATTTGGAGAGACTGACCATAACTTCAATATTTTGAAAATCAATTTAAATTCTGTTTCATTTAACAATCAAATTTTAATACCATAGTTTGATACTGCTTTTTGATTTAAAAAAAAAATAAACGATCCCGAGTAATTTCTAAAATTGTAACATTATAATACAAATTGTCCATATTTAGTTGGAGAGACTGACCATAACCTCAATATTTTGAAAATCAATTTAGATTCTGTTTTATTTAATAATCGAATTTCAATACCACATTTTGATATCCGTACTGCTCTTCGATTTTAAAAAACTAAACGATCGAATTTCCAAAATTATAGTACATACTGCCTATATTTAAGAAATTTACAGTTGGAAAGACTGACCATAACCTCAAAAAAATCGATTTAAATTTTTCTTTTCGTTTAATAACCAAATTTCAATACCACATCTTGACGACGATACTACTCTTTGTCCTTAAAAGAATAAACGATCCCGAATAATTTCTAAAATTGTAGTATTATAACATCGTCTATATTTAAGAAATAAGGGAACAATTAACAAGATATAATGCAATAAATGGAAGGATAGATTTAGAATCACATGTGAAACGCGTGTCGAGTAACAAAGAAACAAAGTTAGCAGCGTATTGAATTTCCGGAGAGCAGAGTTATTTTTGCCACGCGATCGAACGATCGATCGTAGATCGAACGTGTAGCCGGCATTCCCACGCGCAAACGCGACACGCGGACGTTCGCGTTCGCGTTTCTAGAACCGATGATGCGACGTAAGCCCGCTCCAGAAGCCTCGACCGACATTATTAAGTCGTTATTCTTACGTTAAATTGTCCTCACCTACGTTCATCAAAACGTACCCACGTACGATACGAGCTGATGTTCAATCATCGACTTTCTAGGTCTCGCGCCGCGAAAGAAAGTGTCTCGCGGTATCTCTCCTAGTCAGATGTTGAACGGCGCGATAACAGCGACCTACCGGAAATGGAGCCAGCCGGCAACTTGCTTCGGAGAACTTCTCGCGTGCCAACTTCAATCAGCCCGATTTCCAGCGGTGAAAATTCGCGATAACTCCGCGAGATATCATTTCTCTTTCTCTCTCTCTCTCTCTCTCTCTCTCTCTCTCTCTCTCTCTCTCTTTCTCTTTATGATATATGCGTGATTTCTTGCTGAACGAACCGATAGTTGAACGGCGGATCGTTGCGAAAGATTCATTCATCGGCCGATTATTATTCGAAAAACGCGAGTAAGATCGACTGTCGAAAGAGAGGAATGCAAACGTACATACGTGTGCCCGATAACATCACTGGATAAACGACAATTTAGCGAAATCAACGTTAATTCTACCGTTCTCTCTCTCTCTCTCTCTCTTTCTTTCTGAGCTACGATCATGGACGTGCGCGATGACGTTATAACAGACGTCCAAGCTTCTAGCGACACAAGATCGAAACACGAAGGGACCGTCCCTACTAGGAAAACACGCGATTTCGACTAAAAAATCGTAGCCGAAAGACGAAAGCAGCTGCCCGAAGCGATGGGGACAGTGCAGAAACTAGGATGTTTCAAGGACTCACTCACCACAGCCTCGGTGACCGGTATCCACGTGACGACCAGTAGGGCAAGGACGCAGGTGACTCGCAGAACGACCGGGAACCGACGTAACAACCCGAGGGCTGCGCTGTTTGACGTTGCCGCGGCCCTAGGCCGCATTGTGTCTGGCCTCTGTCCTCCTCCTCCTCCTCCTCCTCTTCCTCCTCCTCCTCCTCCTTCTTCGTTCTTGCTCCGTTTCCTCGCCACTTTCTCTCGTTCGTTTACCTGTGTCGCCGCGAACACGCCGACACAGGCAGGCCCTCCGAAATATAGCCGGGCGATGCGCTCTCGGTCGTGGTAAACGTCGTGGACGACACTCTCTCGTTCGGGAACTTTGCGAGTTGCCTCGGATGCGCAGCGATGAGACGTCGTGGTGTCGTGCGGCTTAGAAAACGATGCGGCGAGCTGGTCGGCCAGCCTGTCGACGCAGCGCGTGTCGAAGGGCCAGACAGACGGCCCGGTTGGCCCGTCCTCTCGATCGGTCGCCGCTCTTCACCCAGCCAGACAGGCCTAAGTCAGCGACGGAGGAGCGGCGCTCTTCTCTCTTCTCCTCTTGGTCTGAGCTGTATCCTTGCGCGTCCGAGAGCGCGTCACCGTGCGGCGGGTAAACCGTGGCTGCTCCCCTCTCGCGGCTCTCGCTACTCGCCGGTTTTCTCGCTCGCCTCTCTCAGTTCGCTCGAGAGCCAGAGAGACCTACGGGCCGCGATCGACATCGGCTCAGGCCGTGCAACAGTCCTCGTGCGACGCGCGAGCTCGCTTCGACCCGGCCAGCAATCCTCCTCTTCTCCTCCTCTTCCTCTTGCGCTCTTGGCTCCTCCACCTTCTCTTCTCTCGTCTCTTCTGCTCCCTCCCGCCCTCCTCTCTCTCGCTGCCTTCTTCCTCTTTTTCTCTTCCTCCGTGCTTACTCTTCCCTACTCCAGGCACACACGCTCGCGCGCACACATCGCACACACAAACACATAAGCACTCACACGCGCGAGCGCGAGCGCTCGCTCGCTCTTCTCTTCCCTTCCGCTCCCTTCCTCTATCTTTCGGTTTCTCCCGCTGTCCTTCCTTCTTACGCCCTGCTGCCGGTGGTATCTTCTGGTCTCCGGTCCCCCGTAGTTGACGGAGGCAGGCTGGAGAGTTCGATTCTCTCTCCCGGCCGCGAGAGTCAGCCCGAGAAGAAGAAGAAGAAGAAGAAGAAGAAGAAGAAGAGGAAGAAGACACGAATTAGTGAGAGAGAGAAAGAGAGAGAGAGAGAGAGAGAGAGCGGGGGAGGCAAAGAAACACCCGCGGAAGACGCAGTGTGTGAGAGGAGAGCGCGAGAGCTCTCGCGGAACCGAGAAAAGGTCTCGTTCTCTCTCTCCTTTCCGATCCTTTCGGCGGAGGAATTCTAGCTGGCGTGGCTCGACGGCCGCCTCCACCTTCCTTCCCTCCACCCGAGTTCATTCAGAGCCCTCCCTGGATGGGACGGTCCACACACCACGTCTACTCGGTGCCGGGTTCCCCGCGATATTTTGTGACTGCCTGTCCGTGCGGTTCTTCTCTTCGTGTTAGCCTGTGCTCTCTTCGGCTCCCTAGACCCGTCGCGGAATAGGGAGGTCGAAATGACCCGGTTGGGATTGCGGTGAGTTGCCATTCATCTTGCTTTTCTCTTCTTTCCCACACGCTTTTCTTTCCTCTTTCTCTTCTTCCTCTTCTTCTTCTTCCTTTTCGTCCTTCACGGTTCTCCAGCTGGTTCGTCAACCTATTATATTGTTACGTCAACGATCTCGGTGTGTCGCGAGGTACACGTGCGTTCGGCGGTTGTTCCTCGTCTTCGCAACGTGACACGGAAGCATTGTTCGCGATACGTGTCTCTCCTCGATGAACTCTGTCGCGCTTCTCTCCTGGTTTTTCCACACAGCCTGACCCCTGACCCCTTTTATTCCTGTTCCACCGATCTTTTTTTTTTTTTGCCCCGTCTTGCTCTTACTTTTCCCTCGTTCTCCACCTGTGCACGCGCCGCGAGTATTTCAACGATCGACGGAGGGGGCACGTTCATCCCCCCGTTACCTACCGACGGATCGGTCCCAGTGTCTCAAGGACGAAACCCGCGCGTGTCAATTATCCTTTCGACATCCCAACACCCTTCGTGCCCTGTTTCCTGTTCGTATCCGCCGGTCTCTTAGATTTGTTTTTCGACGCGAAACTTTTTTTTCTTTCTTTTTTGGAGCTCTGTTTGATCCTACCTTCTTTTATAATCCCTTCTACGATTTGTCTCTCAGTTCAACGCTTTTCAACATCATAATTCATCAACCAATGGTATAACATTGTTGACCGTGTTCGCACTAGTTATTTTAATTTTTGACACTCTGGGTAACACGGGAAAAGATTGTGAAATCTGTCTTTGTTGTGTTCACTTTGTTGTAAAAAAGAAATTACTTTTATTTTATCGATATTTAGATTTTCATTTTAGTGTTAGAAAAGTTTTGATCGTGATTCATCTTTCGGGACAGCTAAAAGACCAAGTTTTAGAGAAAATAGTCACGAAAAGAAATTTAACTAGAACGTGTAGAGTATGCTCTTCGAAAGGAAAACATATTTGCAAAATCTGTTGTGTACACGTAGGTGATTGCTATACAGTTTGTCACTCCAAAAAGGAAAAAAATTACTAAAATTTATTATACGTATAAAATGTAATATACAAAGTTTTACTTAAATTCATTCTGTACAAATATAAGGTTGATTTAAATTGTTCCACTTTCATACTCAATTACGAAGTAATAGCCGCTGACGTGAGATAGTTTCTTTGTCCAATTGCCGGTCAACAACGTGTTAACGAATAATCACTAACTACTTGTACAATTCACATTTCACAATTTCATATCGAACGTTCTTACTCTACAACAAGTTCTCTCACAGAACTTTGCTCGTTTCCGTTGCTTCAAACTGACAGAATTTCACCGTCTAGCATTGGACTGGCTTGTAAAAAAAAAAAAAAAAAAGAAAACTTCGCCGGCAATTTTAACAAAAGCACCGACGACGAGAGAGAGAGAGAGATTCTAAAAAAGCAGCCAGAAGAAATGAATTTCTCTTTGTTTAAAAACGCTAGTAGATCTTGCTGAAAGACTTGCCCATCATTTCGAAATGATAACCAATGTATGGAAATGTTCGTTTCAGATTCGTGGCATCCGCAGTCTTCCTGGCCGGGATAGTCGGTGGGGTACGTATCAGCATCATTCTAACTTCGATCGATTCATTCGCTCGGTCGGGCACGCAATGCACGTGTGCATCCGAGCCAAAAAGCGGCGAGCGAGGATCGCATTTCGCGGCGCGTGCTGCTTTCTCACTCTTGTTTCGCTCGTTTCGCTGTACGTACCGGGCTCTGGAATCAATGAAGAGTCGCGAAGTAGATTCGAAGGCCGATCGGACGCTGGCGTAACGAGTAGATCATCCGCGTAGATCATTCGTTGTTTCTTCTTTTCTTTTATGCTCCTGCGTTCGGTGACGCTCGACAGAGACGCGTGGGATTTCTTGTGCGAGCAGCCGATGAAACAGTTTCTGGAAATCGTGTGCAAACTCTCCCTTCGTTTGTTGGTTTGTTGGTTTTGTCAATTGAATTGCGCGTTTGTTGGCTCGTGATTGGGGCTGGTTGAGTTTGAACCACTTGCGCTGGAATGACAAAGTGCCACGTCGAAATTCGCCTCCTACGCGAGCCAATTTTTTTTCCTTTCTTTCGAAAATGACGCGAGTCACTTTACAGTAATGAAAAACGACGACTCGCGAAATTGTAGAAAATATACGCTCTGTTTAATGTATCGTTTAAACAAATGATTTTTCTGCAAAATTAAATTCTTCGTTAAAAAAACATTAATTTCGTCAATTTATACAAAAACTGTATCTTCAGTCGTTTCCGAGATATTTGACAAAATCTGTCAAATACGGACCATCAACTTTGAGGTTAGTTTTTATCACCTTACCTCTTGCGCGCGTCGAGAATCTTTTGTCCCAAAATTGCAATGTTTCTTCAGTTTTAAGTATAATATTTAAGTATAACCCAGGCAAAATAAATAATAAATTTATCACGTCTCGTAATAGTTTCTATACAGTGGTATCATACCGACGAGTTCCGACAAAGAAACCGACGAATTTATGGTCACTCGTTATGGTCCGCAATCAGTTGCCAGCGCAAGTGGTTAACAGAGTCCATAGTCTTGATGAAACTGCCTTCTTTATTTTGAAAATGGCGCGAGCCACTTCTTGCAAAAAATGAGTCAAGAATTAGATTTCAAATATTTATTATTGGGATCAACATGTTGAAAACCACTGGGATCTCGTTGATATATAATACTTTAGGTGCTTAATTATCACGACTTTAAAGAGCCAGTTTCGAAGTAAACCAAGGCTGATATTCCAGTAAGTTTCGATTAATCGGTGACTTAATTAATTACGCGGAGGTTAAGTGGAGATGTGTTTCGTCTAAAGATGACACTAACGTAGATTGAATGATATAATTGGACGTCAGCTTGATCTATTAGCTCAAGGGTATTGACTTACTCAAGTTGTAGTTTGTAATCAGTTACGTAGCTAGTAGCTGGAAGGGTTTGTCGTTGTAGCATGGTAATCAATTAATTTATAGTCGTCAATAATGGCACACATTGAACATCGATCGCGAAAATTTCGGCAACAAATCGAACCCACTTTTGCATAATGCAAAAGAAGAATATTTTCCTCTTTCTTGTGTAACACGAGGACGATGAATTTGTTGTCCACTTCGATACGATTTTCAATATATGTTTAAATTGTTATCAGAAAGATTTTGTTGGAATAATCAACTGTAAAAAAGGGATTTTTTAAAAATTGTCTCAATGTCACAAGCTGCACTAATATTTTGATTCCACGGAAGAGTGGAATTCTTCGAAATTGTTGCAAAAAATTATAAAATGAAAAAATATTTGTACCTTTTGAATGAAATTTCAAAATATATCGGTTCCGATATATAGGCCTCAGTAAAATCGGAGGAACTTTCTTTAAATTGCCTTTAGAATCCAATTTCTTTCGACATTTCGTTGACAGAAGATCGTAATAAAAATAGCAACAGATACAGTTTGAAAATTAGATTCACTTGAACTGTTATAATTTCTCGAAAAATGATCGTAGAACAATAAACCTTGGTTTGTCTCAAAGCTTGAGGCCTCTACTTTCGATCCACGTTGCTTGTACATTACATTAATTTATATATTACAATATAATCACATTAAATTAACTCGATACTTAGAAAAAATTTTTCAAAGCATTTCCGAGAAGAAAATCATCTCCATTTCCGTCACACGCTGTAAAGACATCTCGTCTCGAATGAAACGATGTATTTCGAAAGTCTCGGGTGCCTTCGAGTTTTGAAACGAATTAAGATTCACCGTTATATATTACGCTTACATTTTTCACTTTCGTGAAATTGCAACAGTCAGAGCATCGACAATTTTTTGAAACAAACGTCCACTTTTTAAAGTTTAAAGAGAAATTTAGCTCCAACCTTCGAGACACTTTCGCGAGCAAGCTGTACGTACACAAAGAGATGCAAATCCTTTCCCGCTTGTCACTTCGACGAGCTTATTTCCCCGGTGTCCAGCGTGGTATCGATAACGCGAAGATCGTGCCGCGAACGCGATAAGAGCGTTTCAGCAGATTTGTCGCCGGCCAGCAACGAAAAGGTGTTAAAGCCCGAAATAGGGCAATCGTCTGTTAGCGGCCGGTCCGCCCACGAGAAACCGTCGTAACCGCGGCACTCGTGTAATTTTATTACGCCACGTACACGTGCGCCGCTCGCGAAACAGGCACGCGAGCCTTAGTCACTATTGAAAATAGTTCGGAATTGGCCGCGGTTGGATTACAATCGTCTAGAGGGACTTAATCGTTTCCCTTTGGCTCTCCACGACCGCACGGTCGTTACTGCCCTCCTAGATTGCGTTCTGCAGTTGATCCGAGTTCAACCTTCGTGCCGCCATTGTGGTCTAATGTTGGTGCGTGCCTGTTTATCGGGAAGGATCCGATTTTTTTTCGACTCTGTCGTTGAATATTTATATAATATAAATGAATATAATAATAATAATAATAATAATAATAATATTGATTATTTATCAAAAAATTGGCCGTATATGTGTAGAACGTAAAAAGGAGAATATTCTTGAGAATATTTAAGAATATTTAAAAATATTTAAGAATATTAAGAATGCTTAAAAATATTAAGAATATTAAAAATATTAAGAATATTTAAAAATATTTAAGAATATTAAGAATGTTTAAAAATATTAAGAATATTTAAAAATATTAAAAATATTAAAAATATTGAGAATATTAAGAATATTAAGAATATTAAAAATATTAAGAATATTTAAGAATATTTAAGAATATTAAGAATATTAAAAATATTAAAAATATTAAAAATATTAAGAATATTTAAGAATATTAAGAATATTAAGAATATTAAAAATATTAAAAATATTAAAAATATTAAAAATATTAAAAATATTAAGAATATTTAAGAATATTAAGAATATTAAAAATATTAAGAATATTTAAGAATATTAAAAATATTAAAAATATTAAAAATATTAAAAATATTAAAAATATTAAAAATATTAAAAATATTAAAAATATTAAAAATATTAAAAATATTAAAAATATTAAAAATATTAAAAATATTAAGAATATTTAAGAATATTTAAGAACATTAAGAATATTAAGAATATTAAGAATATTAAAAATATTTAAGAATATTAAGAATATTAAGAATATTAAGAATATTAAAAATATTAAAAATATTTAAGAATATTAAAAATATGAAGAGTATTAAGACTATTTAAGAATATTTTGGAGAACAGAATTTAAGAGAATACGTAGAACATAAAAAAATACTTAAGAAATCACAGAATTTTTTTCCCCATCTCAAAGAACGAATGATTTCCTCATTTAAAACTTGCAGTTGAACAAAACGTTCCGCTCGAACGAGCAGATTCGCGCGTTAGGAGGAAAAACACGATCCTTTCAGTGCAGAATATAAATATTACATCGCGTGTACCTTGCTCTTTATTGACACGTTAAACCCATCGCTAATCGGACAGCAAACCGCACTCACATCTCGCAGAAATTACGTAAACCGTACAGAAATGATTCTCCACACGAGGGAAATGTATTGCACGGTATACATTTTTATTTCACTCTCGACTTTCAACGCGGACTGATTGCTCGGTCATTTCTCGGTCTGTCTTCTTCGGATGCATTTGAGGATTATTTCGAATTTCAGCGCGTAAACGTGAATGAAAAAATGATTACGAGAGGCAGGAACCACTTGGCACAGCGAAAGTGTTTAAGCGAGTGAAACTGGTTTTACCGAGAAGAGGGATTAATAATGACGATCGCCGCATTAACGAAGACAACTGCACGTTGAACGGTCTTAAAGACGGTGTAACTCGACAAATAAGCTGCGTCGCGATTATAGATATCCAACTGCTGGCTAGATAGCCCGCGAGCTCGTTTCGCGGATGAAATATAGTAATTAACGGCAAGAAGGCCCGCGCAGAAGAGGTTCTGATGAAAGGTTGGAATAACGAGCAAAGTATATACCGCGCGTCTCAACATGGCTGTCCACGGTGACGTGAGTTTTATTCCAGTTTCGAAGCATGTTTGTATCAACGATGATGCAAAATTGTCGATAATTTAGACTGATATGACTCTGTGAAAGATAACATAACGATTCATTTGGTTATGTTTTGAAGTTTGTAAAAAAGCCTCTACTTTAACAGTTGTGAACTTTTCTCTTTTTTAAAAGATGATCTTATATTACGTAAGCGAGTGAGAAAGTAAGGATGCCTTTGTAAAAATTCGAAATTCACGTATGAAAATATTAATAAAAAAACTATATATAATAAATATAATAAAAATAGAATAAAAATAATAAAATATATATAATAAGTTTATATAATATAATATAATACATATAAAAAAATTATATAATATAATATTTTATATATATTTATATAAAATATAAAATTTATATAATATAATATAGTATATATAAAAGAAATTATATTATATAATATTTTGTATATATTTATATATATATAAAATTTATATAATATAATATATATAAAAAAAATTATATAATATAATATTTTGTATATATTTATGTATATATATAAAATTTATATGATATAATATAATATA